CCTGGCCTGCAACGCCTGCTGCCCCCTGGGCCTGCCTGCCGTCCGCACCCCCCGCCGCCCTGCACTGGCGTCTGGCTTGGCGACTGCAAACTCTGCACCATTGGCGTGGTGTGCAGGTGGCGCTGTGGGAGCTGCAGGGCCTTCTGCTGCCTCCTGCCCCCCACGCTTGCCCTTCCCGGGACCTCTGCCCATTTCCCCATGCCCGGAGCAGGAGAGGAAGTGCTGCTTTCCGGGCATGGGAAGGGGCTTCTCCCTCCCAGCCCCCCATCCACCGGGGCGGGGGCACTCCTCTGGACCAGGACTGGGGTTGTGCCTCCTTTCCTGCTGCCCAGCCTGGCCTGGCTTGCCCTCCTGCGGCAGGCAGAGCTCGGCAGGATTTGGCCCTGGAACGGCCCAGGCAGCTGGCCGGCCGGGAAGGCTGAGCAGCCCCGGTGAGGGAACCATTCCCGCCCCGTGGCTGGCTGGCCAGGAATCTCATTCAGCTCGGGGGCCGCCTGACCGCTGTGGGGATGTCCACGTCAGCCGCCTCCTGGCGGGCCCGCTAATTGTGGGCTACCGGCTAGCTTCCTCCGTGAGTCAGGCGCCTGGGACTCCGTGGAGCCGCCCCTAATTGCCGTGGAGCCGCCCCTAATTGCACCCAGGAGGGTCCGACCGAGCCCTGGGCTGACTTGCGTGGCTCTGAAATGCCGCTTGCCTGAATTCCTTCTGCCTCCTAGGGAGAATTTGCACCTCATGGCCCACTTATGGGCGTTATTCCAGCATGGTCACTTAATTTGGATGTTCTGTTGTTTTTATTGGTTTTGCTGTCATTGCTCTTTTAAAACGTTTTTAGTATTTTTAATTGTAATACATCTTTGAACTCTAACCTGCCCAGAGTCACTGAAAGGGGAAACCAGAGATATTGAGGGGAGAGAGAGAGGGGAGAGAGAGAGAGAGAGAGAGAGAGAGAGAGAGAGAGAGAGAGAGAGAGAGAGAGAGAGAGAGAGAGAGAGAGAGAGAGAGAGAGAGAGGGGGAGAGGAAAGAGAGAGGGGGAGAGGAAAGAGGGAGAAAGAGAGAGAGGGAGAGGAAAGAGAGGGAGAGAGGAAAGAGGAAAGAGAAAGAGAGAGGGGGAAAGAGAGAAAGGGAGAGAGGGAGAGGAAAGAGAGAAAGAGAAAGAGGGAAGAGAGAAAGAGAGGGAGAGAGGAAAGCATAATCACTATGCTTTAAATATGTTCAATTTGTAACAATGAAAATACATCCTGCATATCAGATATTTACATTGCGATTCATAACAGTAGCAAAATTACAGTTATGAAATAGCAACAAAAATAATTTTATGGTTGGGGGTCACCACAACATGAGGAACTGTATTAAGGGGTCACGGCATTAGAAAGGTTGAGAACCACTATCTTAAGGGATAAGTTGTTTTTTTCCAATTCTTGTGAATTTTTTCCCACTATGATTAAATCATGTTACCTTGTTTTGTTAAATTCCATCTTTAAGTCTCTATTCTCAATTCTATGTCCAATTATCTGTTTTATCTGCTCCTTCTCTGTTGTTGGTTTCTGGCAATTTTTTTTGTCATAGAAGTTATTTTGGATTTTTTTGTGGTTTAAAGTCATTGTTATTTGAATTAGTTGCAGTATACTATATATCTCCTCCTGTGAAGTATTTATGTTTTCTTGATATGTTCTTTCTACATGTCTCTGATCCATGATGGCCAAGAATTTAAGTTTTTCTCTTCCTTTCTTTTCTCTGCAAATAGCTTTGGAGTCCCAATCAAATAGATATTTGTAATCCAAATAGTTCAAAAAAGATTTTTTTTCTGAAATTTATAATTCTCTCTTTGTCTATAGCCCAGATTATTGTCTTTTTTTTGTCACAGGTGTTCTTTGTTGTTAAAGCTTTAAAAGTCACAAACACAGATGAGCTTTTCCCAGGTTTTGCCAAGTCTTATATTAAAGTCATAGCTGTCATAGTCTTCATTCACCACTAGGTGTCAGAAACTATTTGTTTTTCAATTTCCAAAATGAACAATTATCTTTAGAATGAGAGTCTTAACCATTCAAACAATTTTAGATTTATCCAGAATTAAGTTTTAAATTTCAGGTTTTATATTTATTTCACTTCCATATATTTTGATCCTCCATAAAAAGATTAATTTGCCACTTCCGTTAGTATAAGGGTGTGGCAGAAATCCCTCTCCTTCCCTTTTGGAGGTATTTTGCTTCTTGGGGATCTTTTCCAGGAAATTACATGTAGAATAGAAAAGAGAAGATCAAATTCCTCACCCAGTTTCAAGCACACTGTTCACAGTTGTGCTGGTTAGTGCTTTTGGACTTCAGTTGCTAGTAGATTGGGCTGGTCGATGAAATACAGCCAGCCTTTCTCCTGTCAGGTTAGAAGGCTTTCCCCAAGTCGAACGGAATGGCCACCGCCATTCCAGAGTCGCTCGAGCATCCTTCTTTCTTCGTCGCCTCTCCAGGGCGACTTAGACCCATTTAGGGCTCCCTGGCAGGGCAAAATTAGCTGCCAGGGTGCGGAGAATCCGCAAGCCCGTGACCGGTCACTACTTTGCAAAACTGGAAGTCCTGTCTAGCCTCTTCTTAAAAATCTCGATTTCTGGAGGCAAGTTATTCCACTGGTTAATTGTCCTCACTGTTAGGAACTTTCTCCTTAATTCCAGGTTGCCTCTCTTTGATCAGTTTCCAACCATTGTTTCTTGTCCTACCCTCTGGTGCTTTGGTGAATAAAATGACCCCCTCTTCTTTGTGGCAGGCTCTCAAATACTGGAATACTGCTATCATGTCTCCCCTATTTCTTCTTTTCTTTAGACTAGCTAAACCCAAGTCCTGCAGCCATTCTTCGTATGTTTTAGTCTCCAGGCCTTTGATCATCTTAGTTGCTCTTTGGATTTTTTCCAGACTCTGAACATCTTTTTGGCAATATGGTGACCAAAATTGGTTGCAGTATTCCAGGTGTGGTCTTACTAGGGTTTTATAAAGCGGTACTAATACTTCATGTGATCTTGATTCTATGCCTCTGTTTATACAACCCAGGATTGTATTAACTTTTTTGGCTGCTGCTGCACACTGCTGGCTCATAGTCAAGTGATTATCCACTAGGACTCCAAGGTCCCTCTCACAGTTACTGTTTTTAAGCCAGGTCTCAACTTTTCCTGGCTAAATGTAAATCTTTGCTTTTCTCCACATTGAAACTCATTTTGTTGGATAGAGCCCATTGTTCAAGTTTGTCAAGATCTTTTTGGATCCTGAGTTTGTCTTCTAGGGTGTTGGCTATCCTGCCAGTTTGGTGTCATTGCAAATTTGATGAGATCCCCTTCAATTCCCTCATCTAAGTCATTTATGAAGATATTGAAGAGTACTGGGCCTAAGACGGAACCTTGTGGTACCCCACTGCTTACTTCTCTCCATGTGGATGTAGTGCCATTGAGGACTACTCATTGAGTATGGTTTGCCAGCCAGCTGCAGATCCATTTGGTGGTGATGTTGTCTATTTCACCTTACCAATGTGTAGGTTGTGGTCTACTTTATCAAATGCCTTATTGAAGTCTAAGTATACTACATCTACAGCATTTCGCTGGTCTATTAGTTTAGTTCTTTATCAAAGAATGAAATAAGATAGGTTTGGCATGATCTGTTTTTAACAAACCTGTGCTGGCTACTATCTATAACTTTGTTTGCTTCTAGTTGTTTGCAGATCTGGTTTTTGATTATCTTTTCTAGGATCCTCCCAGGTATTGATGTTAAACCGACTGGTCTGTAGTTTCCTGGGTCTGTTTTCTTCCCATTCTTCATGATGGGAACCACATCAGCCCTTTTCCAATCCTCAGGTACTTCCCTGGTGCTCCAGGATTTATGAAAGATAAGATGCAATGGTTCTGAGATAATATCTGCCAGCTTCTTCAGAACTTTGGGATATAGTCTTTCAGGTCCTGGAGATTTATATTCATCAAGGTCAGATATGTGTTCTCTTACCATTTTCTTGCTTATTTTAATTTTTGTTTCTAGTCTGTCTTTTGCAGTGGGTTTTTTTTATATGCTGGGCTATGGTTTCTTTTTGAGTGATAACTGATGCAAAGAATGAATTGAGCAGCTCTGCTTTCTCCCTGTTGCCTGTTATTTCCTTGCCATCTTCTCTCTTTAGTGGACCTACAGTTTCCTTGACTTTTTTCTTATTATTAATATGTTGGAAGAAACTTTTTTTAATCCTTGATTTCTGTTGCAAGTCTTTGTTCGTTCTGAGCCTTTGCTTTCTCTTTCTTATATAAATCATTTCTTTCCTCAATCACAAGAGGCTCCCTGAGACTCTGTAAAGCCAATTTTATTCTTTGGCTAGGCCCCCCCTTTCTTTTCCCGAAGAAAGAACTCCATTTCTATAGTTCACCCAGATAAATGCCTCCGAGAATTCGCTTGACAGAGAGGGAAGAGAGTGGCGCTTATCCCACTCATGGACATGGCTACTGGCACTTCTGACTTGTGTTCATGTAACATCAACAGAAAGCTTACATTTATTCACATTCTTTCTCAATTTAGCTATATGTTGACTTAGGATTTGTTAGGGATGTCTTACCTTCTTAACGCCTGACTTTTCCTATTTACCGCTCTGAGGTTCTTACATTTTTCATAGCTTATTCAGTAAAAAGCTGTCAATCAGTCTCCCACAACTCTCAAAATATCTCTCTTGCATTCAGCAGCTCTTTTTACTCTGTATAACTGAGCAATAGTTTTTCAGAATAAGCAACTTTTTGGTTATTCCCTTTCCCCCTCCTCTTCTTTAATTCTGTTGTCGGTAACTTGGTACAAAATATAAATCTACTGCTGAAGCAGCCAACTGTAATTACTTATCTTCTGACTTTTATATAATTAAAATAATAATTCATAAATGTTATACATGGCATATTGTGATTGTCACTAATATAAAGTCCACTTTTATATTAAGCTGTAATCTCAGTGCTATGAATACTATTTACTGAAAAATATTCAACTATTTTTTTCAGGATGGACAAGTCCAGTAAAAGTCATACCAAATCCACCTAAAGCCAAAGAAAATTTTTTACCTCATACATTTGTATTTCATGTGGACACAGATGTTCAGGTAAATTTCTTTACTACTGCTGCTTCAAATCAATAACATACATTCTAATCAGAATCAGAAGACGAGGAATCAAATGATATCACTAAAATTTATTCAACCACTAGCCCCATCCCATCTTCAGACAGAATGGCCCCATATATCATTCTTGTTAAAAGATCACTCACACAGTGCTTGAATTCCATATGCTTAATCTAATGACCATGTTGTACATCTCCTTCTAGAAAGAGCACTCACTGACCTTCTAATATGTAGAAGATCACATCATCCTCTGGATCATCTGTATGAAAAATGGTGTCCTATGATGGGCAGCCACAAAGTGAGTGCTCTTTCTAGAAGGAGATTACACTAATTACACTAATCAAAATGGCTTTCCATCCAAAATAAAGAGTTCTGAGGAGGGATGTAGTCTCATAATAGATAAATTCTAGGCCCAGTGCTTTTTTTGTAAAAAAAAAAAAAAAAAAAAAGGTGCTGGAACTTACGCACAGCTCCAGCTCCAGTTGAAAGCCCTTTACGGAGCAGGGGGGGGAAAAACAGCTTTAGGGAGCTTCCGAGGTGCAGATCACATGAGCAGCATCAGTTGATGGGCACCATTGCCATGGCTTTTGAGAGGGCACTTGTTCAGAACCGGCATGTCTTCTGCCACCTCGTCCTCCTCCGCCTCTGATGACACAGAGACTTCCTCCATAGCCAGAGTGACCAAGGTGGCAGCGGCGCTGCTGCTTCAAGAGGACGCCTAGTCCCTCGAAGAGATTCACTCCAGGAGTCAGTCTTGGTCTCTGGTGGCCAACACAGGGGTGAGGACAGGTGGCGGTGGCAGGGGGAGCCTCATGAACCAAGGCAGAGAAGAGGGTCTCCTTTCAGAGCAATGGAAGTGTTTCCGGGTTGATCTTTGATGCCCCCGATTTCCCCAGGCAGCTTCCTTTCACTGAGCCAGAGCTTTACTTGCGCTGGAAGCTTAGAAGGAGCCGGTTCTTCCATTCAAAAAAAGGTGCCGGAATGCTGTTCCGTGCGTTGTATGACAAAAAAAGCACTGCCTATGCCTAGTGTGGGATTCAGCCGGTTCACACCACTTTGGCAGAATCGGTAGCTAATTTTTTGTTGCCCAAGCCCAGAATGGACTTCCGGAAGCAGCATCCACACAGAGAACCGGTTGTTCACATATTTGAATCCCACCACTGCCTATGCCTATCTTTATAGCCAAATCCTCATTATAGGAGTATATGAAGTTCTTTTCTGCATTTGGTAAGAACTTAACCTTAACCATGTAATGCTGTGGAGACACTGCCCTCTCTTATAATTTATAGTAGAAGATATGCATTGAACATACAGTAGAATAACAGTGTAACAGCATTGGAAAGGACCTTGGAGGTCTTTTAGTCAAGCCCCCTGCTTGAACAGGAGTCTTTAGTCTATACCACAGGTCGGCAACCTGTGGTTCCGGAGCCACATGCGGCTCTTTGAGCCTTTTCCTGTGGCTCAGCCTCCTCTGCCATTTGCAGAGAGAGACAGAGACAGAGAGAGGCATTTGCACTTCCCTGCTTCTCTCTCTGTCTCTCTCTGTCTCTGTCTCTCTCTGTGTTTGTGTGTGTGTGTTTGTGTGTGTGTGTGTAAAAAAGAGAGTGGACTCACGATGTTCTCCAACAAGCTGAAAAGCTTTTTGGGCAGGGCTCCTGCCTTGGCTGCGTCTCTGCAGAAAGCAGGAAGCAGGAAGGGCAGGAGAGAGCTAGTTAGCCCAGCTATGCTGAAATCAGGAATTCTGGGAGTTGAAGTCCATGAGTCATAAAAGAGCTGAGGTTGCCTACCCCTGAGCTTGTTGGAGAACAGCTTGAAGCCAGCTTGCCAGGTGAGAAGAAGATCAGAGAGAGGGAGGGGGGGGGAGAAAGAGAGAGAGAAAGAGAGAAAAAGGGAGAGAGAGAGAGTGAGAGAGAGTGGGGGAAGAGGACTGGCAGACCAAGGGCAGAAAGAGAGAGAGGGAGGGAAGGAGAGAGAGACACACACACACACAGAGACCCTTTTGATATCTAAAATGAAGATAACACTGCATATATCCTTTTTTACCTTTATGATATATATATATATATATATATATATATATATATATATATATATATATATATATATATATATATATATANTATATATATAAAAGATAAAAAGGATATATGCAGTGTTATCTTCCTTTTAGATATCAAAAGGATTTTGTGGCTCCCAGTGTTTTGTTTTCGGTGGGAAACGGGTCCAAGTGGCTCTCTGAGTGTTTTGGGTTGCCTACCCCTGGTCTATACCATTTTGGACAAATGGTTGCCCAATATCTTCTTGAAAACCTCCAGTGCTGGAGCACCACAACTTCTGGAGGCAAGTTGATTAATTGTTCTCACTGTCAGGAAATTTCTCCTTAATTCTCAGTTGATGTGAAACTGAATGAATTCCTTGTTAGAGAAACATTTCTTCTTCCACAAGATATTCAGGTACAACTTGGCAATTGGTTCCCTTTAGCATAAGGATTTATAACTTTTGAATACTTGAGGAAGTTTGCACATAAGATGGACACAGAGAAAAAAGACAGAGTTATCTATATACACTATAAAAATGAATATGTAGTACATATAATAGATACCTGGGGAGGAAAGGATTATTTACTTCTGGGGCCAAGGATCACAGTTAACCTCATGTTAACCTTTTTACATTCCCAAAAATAAAAATAAATGAGAGCAATGACTTTGTGAGATATAATGTGAGAGAAGTCTGACAAATGAAGATTCATTTTAATAGGAACAAACAATTGTTTTAGATGTATACAGATGAAATATGACTTTTACTGAAATATGATTATGCTATAAGTATGCTTTAGCAGTATTAGATATTTGATCTACATAGTCTTGGCCTGTAATTCGAATATATACAATTCAAACAGAGCTTCCTAGGAAGAGATCCTTACAAATTGTAGACAGCAAACACAAAATATTTAAGAATGAAAATAAGTCTGTTTTTTTAAAAAGGTAGAATTCATTACATTGTTACTTATAATGAAATCCTGACAACCTAGCTATTGAGAAATTTAACATCATAGACATGACTCCTGTTATGTATTAAGAACGAATGTTAATGTGTTGTGAAACTAACGTACCTCCAACTATTTTGGAGGGAAACTTCAAGAATTCAAGTTTGTGTGGGAGCGAGCTAATGTTGCGATTGGCTGATGCCCTAGAGGTGGAAAGTATAAATTGCAAGCATTTGCCAGTTTTTGACAGTTCTGTTATAACTTAATAAACATCGTTGTACTACGCCAGTCTGGTTACTGCCTACGAAACCTACTACACAATAGTGGCAATGAAGGTGGGATATGGCAGGAAGAGAGCTAATGCGAGCTAAGAGACTGAAGTCACTGGTTGTCAGATCAGGCACAGAGCCTTGGTGGGACCACGTTCCCTGCTGTGCCTGCCAATAAGACACACTGGAGGTACAGACATCCTGAGGGATCCGTCCCCAGGACCAAAGGTAACACAGTTCCTTCCGCAGCAGTAAAGGCAGTAACCAGGACCTCACAGAACTTCCAGAATGGCCAAACTCAGAAGGCTCAATGAGTTTGACATCACTCATCCGGAGCAGTGGAGCTCTTAAGTCTCCTGAGTGGACAACTACCTACGGGCGAACCAGATCAGAGACAATAACCTGAAGGCGGCGACCCTATTCTGTGTATGCGGGCAAGCAACATTCGATATCGCAGAAAACCTGGTAGCATCAGCAAGCATTGAGTCAGTGACATGAACAGACCTCAAGAGAAGGTTGAAAGAACATTTTGAGCCAAAACTCCCCATAATCGCTTGGCGCCATGCTTTCGAGCAACAAGAGCAGAGGTCTGGAGAATCGGCAGCTCAGTTTGTGGCCACACTTCGACAAGCTTCACGCCACTGCGAGTTTCCAGATTTGGAAGACCGCCTCAGAGACAGACTCATTTGCGGTTTGCTGAATAGAGAGCTACAACAGTGCCTATTCGCCATGGAAAAACTGACTTTCCAAGACGCTTTGAAGGAGGTCATTGCGGATGAGGCTGCCAGAGGAGCAATGAAGGCTCTCCGGCCACCAAAAATACACACCAGCCCCTTTGCAATCCACCACAAGACTGCAGATGGACTGGGAGAGACTGATGAAGATGATGAGATCGATCGGTTGCAGAGAGAGCCACCCAGATGGCAATGCTCAACAGAGCAAACAACATCTCCACAGAACTGCGCTAGCTACAGGGAACAGCATAAAAGGGCAGAGTGCAGATTTCGCACAGCTGTTTGCCGCACCTGTGGGAAGCAAGGGCACATCGTCAGAGTCTGTAGAGGTAGCCAACGAGAAACGCGAATTGCGGCTCCACAGCAGAAAGGTAAATGGGCTTCAGGGCAGAACAAGATTGAATACTGTTCAGGGAATCCAACGAACAGGAGCCCAATGCCCCCTCAAGGAGAAGTTAAAACGAAAAGAGTTAGAGGATGAGATTAAATTAAAAGAAAAGGCTTTTATTTCAAATCCACTGGATAATAATTTAAAAGTATCTATAACTGTGCTTAGGGAGCAATTTAATATGTTAATAGCAGATCAGACTGCAACTAGTTTAAGGTACATGAAATATAATACATTTTGTAATGCAAATAAACCTGGAAGATGGTTG